GGCGGAGACATTAGAGTGTAGGCTGTTCTGTACAGAGACTGATGTGACTGTGGGGGGAGGGGACATTAGAGTGTAAGCTCCTCTGTACAGAGACTGATGTGACTGTGGAGGGGACATTAGATTGTAAGCTCCTCTGTACAGAGACTGAGGTGACTGGCTCAGTGTTCTCTGTACAGCACTGCGGTATATGTTAGAGCTATATAAATGTACTACTCCGGTGGTGGAAGGGTTAACGGTGCCACAATTCTAAGTCTTCCCAGCAGATGTCGCCATTTTCTGCGGCTCACTCCGGGAACATCTCTTCTCCAGGAACCAAATATCAATGCAGAGTTCCCGGGAGGACGGAGATTCGGGGTGAGCGGTAAGTTGCACCGTGTTTATCCATTGACAGAAGGCAGGAAAGTGAAGATCAAATATGAATGCGATTTTAAAGTGAGGAGCCGCATGGAGTATGTCCAGAAGGTGAAGGGTTACCAGCTCCATGCGGTTCCTGCTTGTTCATGGTTTATCATGCTTTCTATAAGTCGCTTCATCAGCTGGTAGGAAGACTACAGATCCCAGCATGCACCATCAAGCTCTGTATTACACGCATGCTCAGGCTGTGAGGGAATGCTGAGACTTGTAGTTCCATGTAATTTGATGAAACTACAACCCCCAGCATGTCCTATGCACACAGAATCTGGCTGGCAAGGAATGCTGGGAGTTGTAGTTTGTCGGCAGTAGTGTGCTGACGCTGAAATATTGCGTCTTCATTTAAATGCAACTGACACCAAAACTTTTTTTAGTTTTGGATAGAGTGAAGGAGGGTTAGAACCCCCGTCCCATTGAGGAGATTTAATTTCACTTCCTGTCTGATGGATGCAACAGGAAGTGACCCTGGTGTTCTTTAGAGTCAACAGAACTAATGTCCCCATTGGAAGATTTCTCATCTATTTCTGTTCTGGTGACAACGCGGCCATCATCCCCAATATACTGAGACTGACATGTGACTGTCCAATATTGGGTGCAGTGCTGCCCTCTGCTGGTGCTTCTTGGATGCAGCACAACCTCATAACAACAAGTCCCTCTGTCCATATGCCGGATCCCAGCTCATTGACATGTCACTGCGCCAGCCTGGGGACAAGGATCAGATCTCTGGGGAGCACATGAGGTCTCATGCACCCGTCTTTGTTCAAATACAAACTGCGTCAGTTGTCAATAGTATCCCTCTATAGATAAATCATCTCCCGGGGTGAGGGCATCAGATCATTGGTGGCCGTCCACCTCATATTTATACTGATCAACATTCTGACCACACCCTAATACTGAGTACTTCGCCCTTTTCCAGACCTGTCCAAGCATGGACTCCCACTAGACCTCTGAAGGTGTCCTGTGGTATCTGGATGGCCCCCCTAATATTGAGTAGGTCCCCCTTCTCCTGACCCCTCCAGTCATGGACTCCACTAGACCTCTGCAGGTATCCTGTGGTATCTGGATGACCCCCCCCAATATTGAGTAGGTCCCCCTTCTCCTGACCCCTCGAAGCATGGACTCCCACTAGACCTCTGAAGGGGGGCTGTGGTATCTGGATGGCCCCCCCAATATTGAGTAGGTCCCCCTTCTCCTGACCCCTCCAGTCATGGACTCCACTAGACCTCTGCAGGTATCCTGTGGTATCTGGATGCCCCCCCCCCCTAATACTGAGTAGGTCCCCCTTCTCCTGACCCCTCGAAGCATGGACTCCCACTAGACATCTGAAGGTGTGCTGTGGTATCTGGATGGCCCCCCCAATATTGAGTAGGTCCCCCTTCTCCTGACCCCTCCAAGCATGGACTCCCACTAGACCTCTGAAGGTACGCTGTGGTATCTGGATGGCCCCCCTAATATTGAGTAGGTCCCCCTTCTCCTGACCCCTTGTCAGGGATACCGGTATAGGTGACCTCACACCTGCGCAGGTACCCACACAGGCAGACCAAACACTTATGACCACACCGGACAGGGCAGAATGTATTATATACAGTTTAATAAACAGCAAACTAAACAACACCCAAAAGCAAACATAAATAAGTAACATCAACCAGACTACAAGCAGGTCATGGCAACAGGAGGACAAGCAGGTAATGACAACAGGAGCAAAGGCAGGTAATGGCAACAGGAGGTATCTAGGACTGCAAATGGGTAACCGGGCTCGGGACACAAACAGGGTTCAGGACTGGTAACAGGACTCTGGACGGAAAGCAGGGTTCACCGGAACTGGGGACTCAGGGTTCAAGTTTCAGGAAACGCTACTGAGCCATCATCCTGACTGCAGGGAGGGTTTAAATATCCTCCCAGGAAGCACCAGGTGATGGCTAAGTACTGGCAGCTGGGAGACACCTGCAGGTGAGCACTGGAGCTGCAGGTCTCAGCTCCTGCGCCACCTAGAGGCGCTCTGGATCCTAACACCCCTCCAAGCATGGACTTCCACTAGACCTCTGAAGGTGTGCTGTGGTATCTGGATGACCCCCCTAATATTGGGTTGGTCCCCCTTCTCCTGACCCCTCCAAGCATGGACTCTCACTAGACCTCTGAAGGTGTGCTGTGGTATCTAGATGGCCCCCCCTAATATTGAGTAGGTCCCCCTTCTCCTGACCCCTCCTAGCATGGACTCCCACTAGACCTCTGGAGGTGTGCTGTGGTATCTGGATGACCCCCCTAATATTGGGTTGGTCCCCCTTCTCCTGACCCCTCCAAGCATGGACTCTCACTAGACCTCTGCAGGTATCCTGTGGTATCTAGATGGCCCCCCTAATATTGAGTAGGGCCCCCTTCTCCTGACCCCTCCAAGCATGGACTCTCACTAGACCTCTGGAGGTGTGCTGTGGTATCTGGATGGCCCCCCTAATATTGGGTTGGTCCCCCTTCTCCTGACCCCTCCAAGCATGGACTCTCACTAGACCTCTGCAGGTATCCTGTGGTATCTAGATGGCCCCCCTAATATTGAGTAGGTCCCCCTTCTCCTGACCCCTCCAAGCATGGACTCCCACTAGACCTCTGCAGGTATCCTGTGGTATCTAGATGGCCCCCCCTAATATTGAGTAGGTCCCCCTTCTCCTGACCCCTCCAAGCATGGACTCCACTAGACCTCTGAAGGTGTGCTGTGGTATCTGGCACCAAGCCGTCAGTAGCAGATCCTTGAAGTCCTGTAAGTTGTGAGGTGATCGGCCTCCATGGATGGGACTTGTTTTTCCAGCACATCCCACAGATGGCCAATAGGATCGGGATCTGGAGAATTTGGAGGCCAAGTCATCACCTCAGACCCAATTGTTGTGCTCCTCAAACCATTTTTGCAGTGTGGCCGGGCGCATTATCCTGCTGAAAGAGACCACTGCCATTAGGGGATACCATATCCATGAAGGGGGGGACTTGGTCATTGTAGGGGCTTTTGGTGGTGGATACGGGTCACCATGGGCACCCATACACAACAAACTTTCAGAACCGGCAATCACTTTATCAGAAATTTCATCTCCAGTATCTCTACTATTGGATCAGACTTCCCTCCCCACATCCATCGCTGAGCCTTGGCCGCCCATGACCCTGTCACTGATTTACGGGTTTTCCTTCCTTGGACCACTATTGGTAGGTCCTGACTAGGGATGCATCGATACTGGTTTTTTATTACCGAGTACCGGTGCTGTGTGCCCCGATTATTAGGTAGTAGGGCGACGGATCATGACATGTCGCCCAGCTTCCTGTGAAGCCTGTGTTCTACCGAAAGAAGACCAGCTTCACTTGTTGAGGCCGCCTGGCTTCCGGACCAATCCAGAAGCCGTGCGGCGAGTCAGGAGGTGCCGTATGGCTTCCTGATTGGTCAGGAAGCCAGGCTACCTAGCAACAAGTGAAGCCAGCTTTCTAGCCAATCAGGAAGCCAGGTGGCACGTCATGACCCGCCTCCTGGCTTCCTAATTGCCTAGGAAGTCACCTTCACTTGTTCCTAGGCAGCCTGGCTTCCTGACCAATCAGGAAGTTGGAAGGTGGATCATTGCGTGCCGCACGGCTCCATGATTGGTTAGGAAGCCAGCTTTCTAGTCCTTGCTAGCCGGTCATAACCCACCTCCTGGCTTCCTGATTGGAAAGGAAGCTGGCTTTATGTTCCTCTGCACTGCCGGTCAGGGGGAGATCTCCCTCTGGCCGGAAGTTCTGGTATCGGAGCATTTGGGCGAGTATGCAAATACTCAGTATCGGCACCGATACTACTATCGGTATTGGTGCATCCCTAGTCCTGACCACTGCAGAACGGCAACATCTTCTTGATGTCCCTCAGCAATCGCCCCTAAAGAAGCGGGCATCACGTCCCTGAAACGCGTAGAGTAATCCCTACCGATTACCCAAGCTGGTTATGATCCCAATCTCTGTGTATCAGTCGGTCACATGGTATGGAGGAGGGAAGACGTAGAGAGCCGCTGGGTAATGATCGGGAAATATTCGGTAGTTATGCGTGACTTGAAATATGAAATGATGGGAAATGTAGCGGGAGACGGTACATAGAAAGTTGGGGCGGCGGCACCCAGAACTGGCAGGTGGAACGGGGCAGAGCCCAAAACTCTACATGGCGGGTTTTCAGGTGCAGGTTCTCGGACTGTCATCCCTTGCCCTGGCTTCACCGCTCACTGAGCCACTAACCTGGAACAATCATGTGGGGGGTGAAGTCTGAAAAGTGGGAACCTTTGTCCGGATCAGTTACTGGTTGGGTGGTAAAGCCAACATTGAGATGTAGGTGTTTGTCTGGCATGATGGCGGTTGTGTCCTTACCCTTCTGTGTCTTTCTTGTCTTCTCTCTCCAGGGATCGGACACATTGGCACTGTACTCAGGGATTGGAGAACAGCGGGCACAGTGATTCTACCTCCAGGGACCGGGCACGCTGCCATTATACCCAGTGATTGGAGTGCAGCAGATACTGTGATACCCCCTCCAGGGATCGGACACATTGGCACTGTACTCAGGGATTGGAGAACAGCGGGCACAGTGATTCTACCTCCAGGGACCGGGCACACTGACACTATCCCCAGTGATTGGAGTGCAGCAGATACTGTGATACCCCCTCCAGGGATCGGACACATTGGCACTATCCCCAGGTATCTGGGTTCAGTTGGTACAGTGATACCTTCTTCAGTGACCGGGAACACTGCCATTATACCCAGTGATCGGGGTACATCAGGCACAGCGATACCAACTCCAGGAATTGTTCATACTGGTAGGATCCCCAGGGATTGGAGTGCAGAAAAAGTGATATTACCTCCAGCGGCTGGGCAAACTGGCACTTTACCAAAGAATTGGAGTGCATCGGGCACAGTGATAATACCGCTAGGTACCGAACCCGCTGCCACTATACCCAGTGATTGGAATACAGCGGGCACAGTGATACTACCTCCAGGGACCGGGCACGCTGCCACTATACCCAGTGATCGGAATACAGCAGGCACAGTGATACTACCTCCAGGGACCGGGCACACTGCCACTATACCCAGTGTTTGGAATACAGCGGGCACAGTGATACTACCTCCAGTCACTGGGCACATTTCCACAATACCCTGTGATCAGAGTGCAGTGGGCACAGTGGTATTATCTCCAGGAATTGGACACTCTGCCACTATACCCAGGGATCAGAGTGCAGCGGGCATTAATACTTCCTCCATGGACCGGGCGCATTGACACCATACCAGGGATCGGAGTCTAACAGTCACACCGTCAGGATGAAGAGTGATGTGTGTGTACGTTGCTCCTTATTTCATATCAGAGATGGATGATTCAGGGTTGGAGGGTGACGGGACTGTTGGGGATGAAATATGACAAGACACGGATAGCTGGAATGTTCATACATGTGTCATGTTAGAATTATTTCCCATGTATGATATCCATCATCTCCATCGTTATTCCATGCTCCCAGCTGGTACAGGAGCGGTGTGTAAAGCAAGCTTTGGTGCGGCCTTTACCATTACTCCCCGAAGCAGATCTAGCCCAGCCAGCTCCCAGATCTCTGTATTTACGTCTTACTTACACCCTCTGCTAGAAGTCTATCGGTTTCAACTGCTCACATGTGGACATGAAGAAGGGTGAAGAAGCTGGGCAAAGGGGGAACGTAAACCAGCATGACGGGGGGGGGGATTGGGGGCTTTTAAATCAAAGCACTGTATACCTGCTTTAACCGTGTTTAAGGTTATTGTGCCCAGAGGTGGGCTTTAAAATTTTGTTCAAACCGTGTCTATGTATGATGTGAGCAGGCATGTAGAAAGCAACTCTTTTGCATGTGCACACACCATACATATGCAGAAGAATGCAGCTCAACACACATGTTGTGAACAAGCCGTAGAGTATAACTAAAGCCAAAACGGGGGGGATGGTATAACTTCTGTAGATTTTTTTTTTTTGCCATCTGTGTCCCATTGGGGAGATCTCCCTTCACTTCCTGTCCCATATCAACAGCAGGAAGTGAAAGAAAATCTATTTAAAGTGAGGGAAATCCCCTCTTAGACGGTTGTCACCAGAACTGGTGTGCCCATTGGAAGATTTCCCCTTTATTGCTGTTCTGGTGACAAACTCAATATTAGGAATTCTCTCACTTTCACTCCGGTGACTATGATCCTTAGGAATGCACAGATGCCGGGCGGCGTGTAAAGAATCTTCACCCGGCTTCCCGATTAGCAGAGAAGCCGTCTCCATGCCCCCTTGTTACCAGGTGACAAGGGAGCATGCAGTCGGCTTTCTAGCCTGGCTTCCTGATTGGCCAGCTTCTTGACCATATAGGGCGCCCGGCTTCCTGATTGGCCGGGAAGCCGGCTCCATGCTCTTTTGTCACCAGGTGACGAGGGCGCATGAAGCCGGATTTCCGGCCAATCACTAGGCCGGGGGGCGGGTAATGACTTGCGGTCCGGCTTCCTGATTGGCCAGCCCCTCAGCCAATCAGGAAGCTGGGTGGCGAATCATTACATGCAGCCCGGCTTCTTGATTGGCCGGTAAGCCAGCTCCATGCTCCCTCGTTATCAAGTGACGAGGGAGCAAGAGGCCGGGAAGTCGGCTCATCAGGAATCCGGGCAGCATGTAATGATTCGCTGCCCGGCTTCCTGATACCGGAAGATCGTGTATCGGACTAGGCATCGGAGCATGCCCAACTACTCGGTATCGGCACCAATACTAGTATCGGTATTGGTGCAACCCTAATGATCATCGGGACACAGAGAGGATACCCAAACGGCACTAAAACCTGAAGGCGGAGCTAACCCCTCTCCACTCTAACCAAATCTAAAAAAAATACCTATTGTCTTCACATATGCTTTAAACACCAGTCTTAAAGTGGAATTAAAGTGTTCTGTGCTGGGTGGGTGTAGGCTTTGCATACTGGCAAGTGTTCCTTTCTCCAGCGATTCATCTTCTGTCCCCCCGCTGCCGCTTCCAAGTCCCCAGGCATCCTCTGTGGCAATTGGGTGGTCAATGATGATGTAACTCCTACACATGCGCACAGCAGATACATACTCCCCGGCATCAGACCCAATAACATCATCTTGGAGAGTACACGGCACAATGCATGCACCGTACAGTGTACACAGAACATAAAATAAAGAAGAAGTATTTTGTATGTCTATTCAGCCAAAACTCCCGACCTCCCAGAAATGTGTTTTTCTCTCTTCCGCTTTAATGAGCAAATGTGCCCAAATAAAGGCAGATGGTGGATAAGGGACTGGCCACCGTTGTTCCCTGCGGTCTCCCTGCATCTGATCTTTTCCCCATTTCTAACTTGCCATGCCTTGTTCCTCACTGTCTCTCTGTTTAGAGGCAGCCATCTTGGAAGAGGCGGGGCTTTGCTTCCTCATGTCAGAACCTCCAGCAAGGAGAACCGCGAGCAGCACAGTGGTGACCTCACCAAATCTCATCTCGGATCTCCTGAGACTAGCAGCAATACATTAGATTTCGCACTGCAGATACACAGCTCGGAGACTGGAGTGTCTCGGCGCGCTCACATAACCAGAAAAGCTCTGCTATTTTTCGGAGGAATTCCAGACCAAATGTACATGTTTCATGGTACGGCTTAGAAACCTTGAACTTGTGTAGATGTTCCCTATGGTATAGCAGCGTCTTCAGTTTTTGAGTTCAGGACCACAATTGCTTGGTAAAAGCTTGCTGTACACGCTGCTCTTATACAAGCTGAAGTCGGAGGGGACAAGACTTTACAGTATTAGTGTGGCACACCGACTGGTCAGAAGTCATGTGATCTCTGTGTCTGGGGCTATGTGACTTGGTAATAGGAAGGTCCGGTGACATTTTGTTTCGGCAGGTCCAGAACACGAATGATTTCAGCACCGTCAGTAAAGTGTCGGCAGCGGCAATGGGTTACTTCCACGATGAATTCCAGAAATACTTTGTAGGTCGGACTAGCAGAAGATCCCCGCTCATCCACAGGTGAGAAACCAACACCCTTTGCCAACCTGGACATTATTTCCTGTGACTGCAGATATGTAGATGCCTGTTCCCTACCATCATGCTACAGACAAGGACTATTGTTCTTTGTGTGGAAGCAGTGGTCTCTTTGCAGAGGTCAGCCACCCCCCCTTCCTGCTGAGTCAGAACTAAAGTTCTTCGATTAGCAGAACTCGTGCTGCCTGCTGAATGCAAAGTCCACAGGTCAGTATCAAGTAATGCAGAGTGCAGAGGTCAGTATCAAGTAATGCAGAGCTCAGAGTTCAATAGTAAGTTATGCAGGGGACAGTGGTATGTAATGCAGAGGTCAGTGGCACCTAAGGCAGAGTTCAGGGGCCAGTAGTGAGTAAGGCAGAGTGCAGGGTTCTATAGTAACACAGAGTTCAGAGGTCAGTAATAAGTAATGCAGAGTGCAGGGTTCTGTAGTAAGTAACAGAGAGTTCAGAGGTCAGTAGTAAATAGTGTAGAGGCCCAGTAGTATTTAATGAAAAGTTCAGGGGTCAGTGGTAAGTAATGCAGAGTGCAGGGGTCAGGAGCAAGTAATGGTAGGTAATGTAGAGTGCAGGTGTGAGGAGCAAATAACACACAGGATGCAAGGGTAAGTAGTGAGTAATGCTACAAATCTTTACAAACCATCAGTGTCAGTGGGATTGTGGCCTCCGGGGATGATTAGCCCCTCAATACATTGGTGTCAGTGGGATCGTGGCCTCAAGGGAAACATAGATCCTCACTTCATTGGTGTCAGTGGGATCGTTGTCCTCAGGGTAGACTGGCCCCCAAATAATTGGCTTCAATGGGATTGTGGCCCCCAGCGGGGGAATAGTTCTACAAATCATCAGTGTCACTGGGATTGTGGCCCCCAGGAAAGATTAGCCCCTCAATTGATTGGCGTCAGTGGGATTGTGGCTCCCAGGGAAGAATGCCCTCCCCATCCAAGTGATAGGTGTCAGTGGTGGTATTTAATGTACCTAGGGACAGGAGCCAGTGCTGCCTGTAGATGAAGATTGATGATCCAACGTGTCAGTGCATCTTCTGTGCACAGGTGCAGTATCCCTGGAACCTTTTTTATACCTGTCCGGTGTAGACCAATCTCCCCGGAGTAATTTTACCCGGGTGCTTTCATTCATAAAGATGGGCGTAGCTGTCAGAGCATACAGGAAGCAGGCAGGAGGAAGGCGAGCTGCAGCTCATTGTATAAGAATCCCTGCTCTAGAGGGCAGGTACGCCCCAACCATCTCCATCATCCTGGTCCCTGTTCATGGATTGATTGCCAATGCTTCCCGGCATGCTGGAATATCTCTCAGTGCTTGCTTTGAATGCCCAATGTGCACTGCATTGCTGGGAAAGGGTCATGTAGCTTCCAATGATAAGTCAATGAAAATCTGGTGATGAAATTGGGAGTGATGGACAGATATACCGCCATTGTTTCACGCAGATGACCGCTCGCAGCTGTGAACTCTACATGTGTTGGGAATATGGAAATATTAAGTGATTGGTGGTCCTATTGGTATAAGCAGCTTGAATTCAAGATTGGCTGATTCATTTCAATTACCTCACCCCTTTTTGTCCCGTAGGGGGTACTGTGTCCGCTCACAGGCCGTCAATCACTGTATCAGGGAGTTCCTCCAAGACACGAAGGACTGTGCGCACAGACAGGTGAGTGATCTGGGATTCTGCCAAATACACAGCAAGTCTTCACATAGTCATCTGTTTGTTTGTTTTTCTTCGATCAGGATCCAAATTCTTCCAGAACTATTGATTAATAAGAAATAAGCAAAGTTACATTCCATGATATTTCATAAACCTGAGCAAGATAATATTTAATATTGAAAGCAGATATAAGAAAAACAAATTATTGCTGCTCTGTAATCCTTTAATAGATCATTAAATGTATTTTATTTTAAATTCCAGCTGTGTAATTATGTGAATTTGACCTGGTAGCACCCTCTCAGAGTCCCTGTACAGCCGGGCTTGGACTGGGGGATGGAAAAGCAGCACAGGGAAGCAGTCAGTTCATGTACTGAGTTGGTGCATGCTAGTAGGTGTAGTGAGCAGAGTGTCAGAGAGATGAGCTTACCACTGTTCTGCTTCTCCTTCACTGTCCAGTCACAGGCTAAGGGTGGGCTCAAAGGCACTGGGTTGATGGGCCTCTTAGAAGTACTGGGGGACAGCTCTGAATTGAAGGCCCCGTTTTACAGCAGAATCTGCTTTTTTTCCCCCTCTATTTAATAGGCTATATTTATTGCTGACTGGCATCGTGCTTGAACATGCCAGAATAATATACAGTGGATAAATGATATTGTGATCCCATTGGAATGAGTTGGATTCCCCCGTTCCAGCCCATGGTGTATCCTGATCTTTATCCAAGTAATGAAAGGTGGGAGATGAAGGGGGTGTAGGAACATCACCATGAAGGTACTTTACATGAATCAATTGTGAGAAGACATGGCATGAAATTCTCTGTTTCATGGACCGATGGTCCACTTCTTCAGGAGGCCATTGGAGGCTGATAATATTGTACATCATACAAGATAATTCAGTCCATGGACGTTAATAAGACAACAGGTGCAGAGATCCCTATATATGCTGGGAAAGACTACAGGGAATAACCGTGAGGGAAGCAATTCACCAAGTCCACCTCACCTTATATTTCCCATTAGTAGTGCCAAAGACCTTGGAGAGGTCTTTGCCACCAGAACCTTGTAGTCCCTGAGAGAGAGAGCAAGGGGGAGCGACACTTCCAAATCTTTACTCACAATATGTGCCCCAAAATTGTAAAGATCAGATGTAGCATTCCTGGCTTTGGCCCCTCAAAAAGATATTCCTACCAGAGGAGCGGAGGGAAAATGCTTGATCCCTAGTGCTGAGCGCCTGAAGTTATGCTTTTAATAGTAGGCAAATGGTCTGGATGTTCATGAATCTACAAATTGCCTAAAAAAAAAAAAGGAAATCCATTGTTCTTTCTAGCCACCTCTCCGGGATCCGTCACCAGGTCTATGCTTTATACGTCCCTCCTACCTATCTATCCTAAATGGTGGGGCAATATGTGGGTCAGCGTCTGAGCTATATGCCACTACATGTACATTGAGCCACCCTGCTGAGGATACAAGCCAAGGAACTGCAGAGAGCTCTTGGACTACCAATGTCTCTCTGGCATAATTACATCAGGTTGAAAAAAGACACGTCTATATCGAGTGCATCCATAAAATATGTGTCTTGATGTGTCCACCAAAAGAAAAAGTTGGCAAAACGCCCCCCTAAACATTACCATGTTAAATGGTAAACGGAAAAAGGCGCATCAACACCGCCAATGATCCAAACTGTGAAGCTTGTTGATGGAAACATTTGATCACCTCCCTTCAATCTGCATGATGCGTGTATAGTCAGAGGTAGTATATCTGTCGATGATTCATGTTACTGATAATCCCCCCTGCAATCTGTACAGGTGCTGTCTTTGGGATGTGGATTTGATGCTCTGTATTTCCGGATGTGCGGGAATCTGGGGGCGGAGGGAAGCACGTGTTTCTGGGAAGTGGATTTTCCAGCCGTGGTGGAGCGGAAGCGACGGGTAATTGCAGAGACGGAGACGCTGAGGAAGATGCTGAGCAAAAACGCAGACTGCGATGGCCCCGGTGAGGACAGTATCAGTGATGTCCTATCTGGTTGTCATTTATTGTTGATCAACTGATTCACTTAAGTGGAATTGTTGCCTATAGCGACCAATCAAAATTTGGGGTTAAAGATTCCGTTAAATGAAAGGTGAACGGTTTTCATTGGCCACTTTTGTGCTCGTTCTTTTTCTCCAGTTTCAGTGAATCTTCCCCCTTCACGCCTTCATTCTATAACGCATCTCATTCTTCTCTCCTCCAGCATGTTCCATCCTTCTCTCGGAAGATTATAAGCTCCTCGGTGTGGATCTCGGTGATCTTTCTTCCCTGCATTCTGCACTGGACAGTGCTGGCCTGACATGGAATTGTCCCACTCTTGTACTAGCAGAGGTAGTTCTGTGCTACATGGATCCCGACAGGTAAGTGCAGATACTGAGTCTTTAGACTTCCTTCACCCTGTACCATAGCCATAAAAGAGAATCTGTAATATTGACCCCCAAACCCTGCTCACTGGTAGTTGCAGCTGTGCACATTTCATAAGCCGTCCTGTATTTAGAGTGGTCTGGAAGTGAAATCGTATAAAGGGCCCCTATATCTACATGTTATCTGTGCTATAAAGCAAGGGTAGTCCAACCTTTGCCCTCCACCTGTGGTGACGCTACAAATTCCATCATGCATCTGCCTCTGGAAGCCATGTCTGTGTCTGTTGGAGTTTTACAATTCCTTATGGGAGTTCTTCAACAGCTTGAGAGCCGAAGTATAGATACTCCTGCAATAAAGTCCTCTTAGGGTTATGGTAGGGTTAGGGTGAATATAGGCTGTAGGGTAGTTTTAGGATTGTAGTTGAGCTGGGCTTGGATAGGGTTAGGGTGAGTATATGATGAGTTTGGTTGTCTTAGAATAGAGTAAGAGTTAGGGTGAGTATTGTCGGTAGGGTTAGGATTGGAGAGGTTGGGTTGGGTTAGAGTGAGTATTTGCTATAGGGTAAGCTCTGTATTCTTAGGGTAGGGTAGTTATGTGTTTTAGAGTGGGGTTAAGATAGTGTTAGGGTAAATATGTGTTTGAGTTAGGGTAGGGTAATGGTGAGTATGTATTGGAGAGTTAGGTATGTAGAGATTAGGTTGGATAAGAGTACAGTTACAATGATGGACAGTATATGTGGTAGGGTTAGGGATGTAGGGTATTTTTAGGCTGAGTATGTTCTGTAGGGTTGAGTTTGGAGTTGGAGAGTGTAAGTGCTGTAGTGCTAAGGTCTGGTTAGGGAAGAGTTAGAATAAGGAACATTATATGCTGTAGGATAATTCTTATAGGCTCTTTTTAGTTTGAGTTTGTTCTGTGGGGTTAGGGGTGTCATGTTGGGTCAGGGTGAGTATGAACTGTAAGGTTAGGGTTGGGTTATGGAGAGTATGTCCTGTAGAATAATGTTGGTAGATCTAGGGTTAAGGTAGGGTAGAGTTAGAATAAGGGACAGAATATACAGTAAGATTAGGGATGTAGGCTTGGGGTAGAGTGAGTGTTCGGGTACGTGTTGTAGAGTTAGGGTTGCAGGAGGAGGTTTAGAAGTGCAGTTAGTAGATTATGGCTGTAGGTTAGGGTAGCGTTAAGAATTAATATGTGTTATAGAGCTAGGGTAGGGTTAGAATTAGAGAAAATAGTTTGTAAGGTTAGGGTGGAGTTAGGGTAAGTTTGTACTGTAGGGTTAGGGTTGTAGTGCTTGGGTAAGTATGTACTGTAGGGTTAGGGTTGTAGGGCTTGGGTAAGAATGTACTGTAGGGTTAGGGTTGTAAGGTTAGGGTAAGTATGTGCTCTGGGGTTAGGGTAAGTATGTGCTGTAGGGTTAGGGTTGTAGGGCTAGGATAAGTATGTACTTTAGGGTTAGGGTAAGTATGTACTGTAGGGTTAGGGTTGTAGGGTTAGGGTACATATGTTCTGTATGGTTAGGGTAGGTATGTACTGTAGGGCTAGGGTAAGTATGTACTGTAGGGTTAGGGTAAGTATGTACTGTAGGGTTAGGGTAAGTATGTACTGTAGGGTTAGGGTTGTATGGTTAGGGTAAGTATGTACTGTAGGGTTAGGGTTGTATGGTTTGGGTAAGTATGTACTGTAGGGTTTGGGTAAGTATGTACTGTAGGGTTAGGGTTGTATGGTTAGGGTAAGTATGTACTGTAGGGTTAGGGTTGTATGGTTTGGGTAAGTATGTACTGTAGGGTTAGGGTAAGTATGTACTGTAGGGTTAGGGTTGTAGGGTTAGGGTAAGTATGTACTGTATGGTTAGGGTTGTAGGGTTAGGGTAAGTATGTACTGTAGGGTTGCAGGGTTAGGGTATTACTGTAGGGATAGATTTGTAGCATTAGGATTTACTGTTGGGTAAGCGGATTATGTTCTGTAGGGTTGGGTCAGGGTGAGTATATGCTGTCGGGTTATGGGAACACGTTCAGGGTTGTAGGGTTTGGGAAATGGTTTTGGTAGGCTTGGTATGTTCTCTAGGTGAGACATTATTATAATGTGGAAGGAAAATGTGCTCTTGTCCCCCCTATAAAATACCATTTAGATGTGCTCTCCCTTATCTCTCCTATTTAGATGATGTGATGGTAATATAGTGTGATGCCTGGTACCTGATGGAAAGGGCAGTGTTGACGTTGGTCACATGATCTTTGTTTTGCTGCGTTTCTTCTGCAGATCGACAGATGTGATTGGCTGGGCAGCACGGCGCTTCCCTCATTCCCGCTTCATCTTGTATGAGCAGTTTTCACCATGTGATCCATTTGGTCAGGTGATGATGAATCACTTTGTGTCGCTGAACTCTGCCCTGCGGTCGGTGGCGGTGTATCCCAGGCTGGAGGATCAGGAGCGCCGCTTCCTGCACGAGGTCAGAATTGTGCTTCGTATATTCACTTCCCTTCCTGTCTGCAATGGATGCTTCACCAAGCGGGTTCCACCGAGTCTCCTCTCTTTCCTACATGAGAGAAGATCTTAACTGAAGAATCTAGACCTCAACTCATCTGATTCCATTAAAAGTCCCAGAGAAATGGAGTCCCTGCATGTAATGGCTGACAGGGCAGACATTCATGTCACCAAAGCGATGACTACCAGGGAAGAACCCCTCAGGGTGCCTTAATGTAGAATTACCTCTAAAGAGTGTAAAGGTCGTTCCTGAAAATGCTTAGAGATACGGGGTTCAAACCCACAGAGTCAAAATGGCCAGATGGGGTACAGTACATGGGAACTACCCTTTAAGGATTAGTCTGGGGGTAGAAGGTAGAGCTGACGAGAAGAAGGGTTTCCTGGGCTGGCCTACAGTTTTTGTTTGACAGTGTCCAGTCCTCCTGTAGGTATAATGTGGTGAGATGTCCTGTATCCCTCAGTGGAGAAGAAAAAAGTTACTGTATTCAGATACGCTTTACTTTCCCTCTAATGCATTTCACCAAAATGATAAAATTTTCACCAGAATGTTTGCAGAGATTTGGGGAAATAAAGACTCTATTTCACTCATGTCTTCTATGTTCTCTCCGCACAGGATCTCATGTCTCCTATGTTATCTCCGCACAGGGTCTCATGTCTCCTATGTTATCTCCGCACAGGGTCTCATGTCTCCTATGTTATCTCCGCACAGGGTCTCATTTCTCCTCTGTTCTCTCCGCACAGGGTCTCATTTCTCCTATGTTATCTCTGCACAGGGTCTCATTTCTCCTATGTTCTCTCCGCACTGGGTCTCATGTCTCCTATGTTCTCTCCGCACTGGGTCTCATGTCTCCTATGTTCTCTCCGCACTGGGTCTCATGTCTCCTATGTTCTCTCCGCACTGGGTCTCATGTCTCCTATGTTCTCTCCGCACTGGGTCTCATGTCTCCTATGTTCTCTCCGCACTGGGTCTCATGTCTCCTATGTTCTCTCCGCACTGGGTCTCATGTCTCCTATGTTCTCTCCGCACTGGGTCTCATGTCTCCTATGTTCTCTCCGCACTGGGTCTCATGTCTCCTATGTTCTCTCCGCACTGGGTCTCATGTCTCCTATGTTCTCTCCGCACTGGGTCTCATGTCTCCTATGTTCTCTCCGCACTGGGTCTCATGTCTCCTATGTTCTCTCCGCACTGGGTCTCATGTCTCCTATGTTCTCTCCGCACTGGGTCTCATGTCTCCTATGTTCTCTCCGCACTGGGTCTCATGTCTCCTATGTTCTCTCCGCACTGGGTCTCATGTCTCCTATGTTCTCTCCGCACTGGGTCTCATGTCTCCTATGTTCTCTCCGCACTGGGTCTCATGTCTCCTATGTTCTCTCCGCACTGGGTCTCATGTCTCCTATGTTCTCTCCGCACTGGGTCTCATGTCTCCTATGTTCTCTCCGCACTGGGTCTCATGTCTCCTATGTTCTCTCCGCACTGGGTCTCATGTCTCCTATGTTCTCTCCGCACTGGGTCTCATGTCTCCTATGTTCTCTCCGCACTGGGTCTCATGTCTCCTATGTTCTCTCCGCACTGGGTCTCATGTCTCCTATGTTCTCTCCGCACTGGGTCTCATGTCTCCTATGTTCTCTCCGCACTGGGTCTCATGTCTCCTATGTTCTCTCCGCACTGGGTCTCATGTCTCCTATGTTCTCTCCGCACTGGGTCTCATGTCTCCTATGTTCTCTCCGCACTGGGTCTCATGTCTCCTATGTTCTCTCCGCACTGGGTCTCATGTCTCCTATGTTCTCTCCGCACTGGGTCTCATGTCTCCTATGTTCTCTCCGCACTGGGTCTCATGTCTCCTATGTTCTCTCCGCACTGGGTCTCATGTCTCCTATGTTCTCTCCGCACTGGGTCTCATGTCTCCTATGTTCTCTCCGCACTGGGTCTCATGTCTCCTATGTTCTCTCCGCACTGGGTCTCATGTCTCCTATGTTCTCTCCGCACTGGGTCTCATGTCTCCTATGTTCTCTCCGCACTGGGTCTCATGTCTCCTATGTTCTCTCCGCACTGGGTCTCATGTCTCCTATGTTCTCTCCGCACTGGGTCTCATGTCTCCTATGTTCTCTCCGCACTGGGTCTCATGTCTCCTATGTTCTCTCCGCACAGGGTCTCATTTCTCCTATGTTCTCTCCGCACTGGGTCTCATGTCTCCTATGTTATCTCCGCACAGGGTTGGGAGCAATGTCGCGTCTTGGACATGAATGAGTTCTCTGCTTTGTGCATTTCGGACTTGGAAAAACGGTGCATCGAATCTCTGGAGCCATTTGATGAGTTTGAGGTAGAAATTCTCTCCTCCGGTTGGCAGTCGGATTTCTGTAGAGACGGGGGATGGGGTATTAGTTCAGAAGGGTATGGGAGATGACCGAGTATATGCTTTCTGTCTTCGTTATTCCGCAGGAGCTCCACCTGAAGTGTTCTCATTACTTTATCTTGGTGGCTTCTCAAGGGCTTCTAGCAGAGTGTCCGGCCCTGCGACCGATCTGCGATACTCACAGAGGTATGATGGATTGCATGGAGAACGGACACCTAGATAACTGATCCAGCTTCCCAATATGTACAGTAAAGGATCACATATTACACTCATCATATACTGGGGATAACATTGCTCAGAGTGTCGCCTTCTGCAAAGCAATAACTCCTATTTCTGTGTGTGTGTGATATGTCCTGTCACTGGCTGGATCCTTGTTTGTGAACCCTTACTCCCGGGTGGATCCCCGTGTGATCACATCTATCATTGTATGGATTCCTGTGTGATGTCATTGGCTGGGCTCCTTTGTGATTCCAGCTGTCATTGGCTGGATCCCTGTGTGATTCCAGCTGCCATTGGCTGGCATCCCGTGTGATGCTGTCGGCTGGATTCCTGTGTGAACCCACCTGCCATTGGCTGGATTCCTGTGTGTGATCCCATCTGCCATTGGCTGGATTCCTATGTGTGGTCTCATCTGCCATTGGCTGGATCTCTGTGTGTGATTTAATCTGTCACTGAATGGATTCCTGTGTGTGTGATCCCTTCTGTCATTGGTCATCTGTTATTGGCTGGATCCCTTTGTGTGATCCCATCTGTCATTGGCTGGAAGCCCGTGTTATCCCATCTGTCATTGGCTGGAAGCCCGTTTTATCCCATCTGCCATTGACTGGATTCCTGTGTGATGCTATCTGTCATTGGCTGGAAGCTTGTGTGTGATCCTATGCGTCATTGGCTGGAAGCCTGTGTGATGCTATCTGCCATTGGCTGGAAGCTTGTGTGAGATCCTATCTGTCCTGTTACCAGCTTAACCTCTGTATGAGCGTTCTTCCCTGTGAAGGATCCCTGGTTGTAATCTCACGTCTCCTTTTGTTTCCTCTCCGTAGAGTTCTCGGTGCTCCCAGCTCCGGAGTTCTGTGGCTCTCTCCCTGTGGATCCGCTTCCCGCCTCTGTCTGTGGTCTACGACGTTTTGGTCACCGTTCCTGTCCAGTGTCTTCTCAGGTCATCATCTCTGCTGGTGGATTTGGGGAAGGAGACGGCAAGCACCGGAGATTAGACGACATCCACCTGTTATTGCGGGAAGATGATACCTGGAGGCGAGAGATGAATGCCAGCCAATGGGGTAATGACTTGACTTTATTGCATAAAATGACTACATGGCTTGATGACATCAGTTTGAGACGTGTCTGAGATCATTCAGAATTCATCGACAGTGCATCTGACCTGCTGCAAGTGGCTTCTGCATTCCTATTAACTTGTATGAGAATGCAAAACCTCCTTGACATGACACCGGCACTTACAGTCCCTTAGTAGGCCACATAAACTATTGTCAGTGCATCATTGTACAGGCCCCTACCTAGGAATGTCTACTCCTCCAGACTGACATCCACCCATCAAGGCATTTTGATATTTGCATAACTCCTCCCAAGAGCCAGCCCACTGCTTACATCAGGACATGAGAGGAGTACTGAGGCGGGGTGCTGTGATGTTTTCAGGAAGCTATGTACAGCACCCTGCCAGCGCCTCCCACCAGCCATGATCTGCCTGCACCACTGCACAGAGAAACACAGAGACCAAGATACGGGATCGTATAGCAGCTACCAAATGTCATGACTTGGCACCGCATGTAGTATCACAATGTCTCCTGATTCTGTGTAGTAGCTCAGGGTGGTCTGTGTGCACACATTATACAGCACCCTCTCCATCCAGTGTGATGTGTGCTGCACCATAGTGTTGACTGATAGGAAATTAGTTATGTCCTGTCCTGTCTGTGTCAACAAATTGTGTCATTTCTTTTGAACAACGTTTCCTCTCTGTCTTTGTAGATGGACGTCTCCTGCACTCCCTCACACTTCTCACCGGCGGTCAGGTTTTAGCTTTGGGGGGTCGATTCTCCCCTTCTAGACCGGCTAATGGTGCTCACATCCTGCAGTATGATGTGGTGACACAGAGCGTGAAGATCACACCGAGAGATCTCCATCCTGAGCTGCATCGCTGGAGACACACGGCCACCGAGGTGTCCCTCCACGGTAATGTCTCTGCTGGTCATTTACAGCTGAACTCAGGCCATCCCTCATGCTGGTCATTTACAGCTGAACTCAGTCCATCCCTCATGCTGGTCATCTACAGCTGAACTCAGGCCATCCCTCATGCTGGTCATTTAAAGCTGAACTGTTGTCATCCCTCATGCTGGTCATTTGAGGCTGAACTCAGGTCATCCCTCATGCTGGTCATTTAAAGCTAAGCTCAGGTCATCCCTCATGCTGGTCATTTAAAGCTGAACTCGGGCCATCCCTCATGCTGGTCATTTAAAGCTGAACTCAGGTCATCCCTCATGCTGGTCATTTAAAGCTAAGCTCAGGTCATCCCTCATGCTGGTAATTTAAAGCTAAGCTCAGGTCATCCCTCATGCTGGTCATTTAAAGCTGAACTCGGGCCATCCCTCATGCTGGTAATTTAAAGCTAAGCTCAGGTCATCCCTCATGCTGGTAATTTAAAGCTAAGCTCAGGTCATCCCTCATGCTGGTCATTTAAAGCTAAGCTCAGGTCATCCCTCATGCTGGTCATTTAAAGCTGAACTCGGGTCCTCCCTCATGCTGGTCATTTAAAGCTGAACTCAGGTCATCCCTCATGCTGGTCATTTAAAGCTAAGCTCAGGTCATCCCTCATGCTGGTCATTTAAAGCTGAACTCGGGCCATCCCTCATGCTGGTCATTTAAAGCTGAACTCAGGTCATCCCTCATGCTGGTCATTTAAAGCTGAACTCGGGCCATCCCTCATGCTGGTCATTTAAAGCTGAACTCAGGTCATCCCTCATGCTGGTCATTTAAAGCTGAACTCGGGTCCTCCCTCATGCTGGTCATTTAAAGCTAAGCTCAGGTCATCCCTCATGCTGGTCATTTAAAGCTGAACTCGGGTCCTCCCTCATGCTGGTCATTTAAAGCTGAACTCAGGTCATCCCTCATGCTGGTCATTTAAAGCTGAACTCGGGTCCTCCCTCATGCTGGTCATTTAAAGCTGAACTCAGGTCATCCCTCATGCTGGTCATTTAAAGCTGTACTCAGGTCATCCCTCATCCCATTTAAAGCTGTACTCAGGTCATCCCTCATCCCATTTAAAGCTGTACTCAGGTCATCCCTCATCCCATTTAAAGATGAACTCTGCACATTTATGTCTTGGGTGCTCAAGGACCATGTCCTGCCACTGAGAGAAGGAGGACGGCCATGTGCTCACCTTCTTCACGCTTCCTTCTAAGGGCAGGTTCAATTTTTACAGCACCTGTAGCAACCCGCCCACAGCCATTGGTTGGCAGCTATTCAAGTAACCCAATGTGCAGGCTCATCATTCATATAACCCAGTGTGCAGGCTCATCATTCATATAACCCAGTGTGCAGGCACATCATTCATATAACCCAGTGTGCAGGCTCATCATTCATATAACCCAGTGTGCAGGCTCATCATTCATATAACCCAGTGTGCAGGCTCATCATTCATATAACCCAGTGTGCAGGCTCATCATTCATATAACCCAGTGTGCAGGCTCATCATTCATATAACCCAGTGTGCAGGCATACTCAGGTCATCCCTCATCCCATTTAAAGATGAACTCTGCACATTTATGTCTTGTGTGCGCAAGGACCATGTCCTGCCACTGAGAGAAGGAGGACGGCCATGTGCTCACCTTCTTCACGCTTCCTTCTAAGGGCAGGTTCAATTTTTACAGCACCTGTAGCAACCCGCCCACAGCCATTGGTTGGCAGCTATTCAAGTAACCCAATGTGCAGGCTCATCATTCATATAACCCAGTGTGCAGGCTCATCATTCATATAACCCAGTGTGCAGGCACATCATTCATATAACCCAGTGTGCAGGCTCATCATTCATATAACCCAGTGTGCAGGCTCATCATTCATATAACCCAGTGTGCAGGCTCATCATTCATATAACCCAGTGTGCAGGCTCATCATTCATATAACCCAGTGTGCAGGCTCATCATTCATATAACCCAGTGTGCAGGC